CAAACTGAGAAAAGAGGGACCTCTAATGTATCAATTTTCCCCTTTAAACCATGCTTATCTCTTCCTTTCCTAGTGTTAGGAACACACAGAAAAGAAGAACCACTCCAACCCTTGTTATAAGCAGTTCTTGATGCACGATTACTCTGAGAAGAAAAGGGTATGGTATACTGGTTTTTTCCATTGCTGATCCAGTCTAAACTTCAAAATCTAAATTTGGTAATGATAATTGAAATGACTGGTCTACATTCATGATCCCAAAGTTGATATTTAACCCTCCTCCCGTGAAAACCTAGTAATTTCTCAGAAACCAAAATCAGCATATAGAGATGGTATTCTTATATTCTCCATTAGAGTTTTAAATCGATTAATCTCAATGCAGCAAATGACAAACTAATTTAATGGAGGGAGCAAAAGTGCTGCAATTTAATTTATTTTAAAAGAAAAAGAAAACGAAAAGGCAATCTGGTTTTGCAGCCCGACAGATACCCAAGACAGTTTTTCAAAAGATATAAAATTAGAAGAGTTGAAAATTACCTCCTGTAAATATTAAATGTTGGATTGGGAGAATCCACCATTTTCCACCAAAACCATACCATCAAAAGCCTTCCGGCATATATACGACCAGAACAGGAAAAGAAAAGAAGAAACTTGCCAAGAGATAAAGATGGATGAATCAAAAGGAAGACGAAAATTTTTCGTTGGAACAAATCTTTGAATACCTGAATGATTCACTTAATGATGAAGTCATCCTCCAATAAGAAAATCATGGTTGTTAATTATTTTGTATAACCAACTGCTAAATTTGGTTTTTCTTGGCATTGGCCAGTCCATTTTGGTAAATATGATCTTATCACATAAATTCGGAAGCTGACAGTTAAAAAGCTTAAACCTAGACTGTAATCTGACTGGCTAAGGGTGGCATTACCTCATCACCATCTTCATCTTATCACCTGTATTTGGCTTGTATTCTTGCTCAACAGTCTTCATTGACCACCTAGCTGCCATTTTTTCTTTCTGATTAAATTTGCAATAATTCAGCACTTTAATCTGGGTTTTATTTTTCAAGTTGATATCAAACTTGAAAAGAATATATATAATAAGGAATGACATACATCTGCTCTGATTTCTTTCCTTCGCTGATTCACTTGTCTCCAAAATATTTTTATGAGCATAATCCGAGTGAAATGAGCAAAAAAAGAAAAAAAGAGATAAGAATCAAGGAGTTTTGATGAAGTGAAAGGGTTTAGATATCCAAATTGTAAGAAAACCAATTATTCAGAAAACATGATTGGTTTAGATATGGTGTATAATGCAAGTTTTGTAAAGGGTTTGGACATGTGAAAAAAGTAAATAAATTCAAGAACAGTAGGAAGAGAAGCTTTTTGTGACCATATATTACTTAATCAACTCAAATAACAAAGCTCGGTTGATTAATAGGTAGTTGCACCCATCATATGTCACTGGACCAATCCATCACACGAAGAAATTGGTAGAAAACATGTTTGCCTTAAAAGTTTTCTAAAGTTCATAAAATGTATGAACTTGAGAAACAAAGCAAGCAAATTTCACAAAGAATCAAGTATGGAGAGCAACGAAGAGATTGCAGCTCATCCATATCAATCAATGTGGCTCCATTATAGTTAATTTCCTAAGTGGAAACAAAATATTATTGGATCTTTGCAGATGACTTCTCAACATTTGGTTGGATTCTCTTTTGAATAAAAGAAAAAAGATTTGAAATGATTAATAAGTTTTAAATATTAGAGGAAAATCATGAGATAATATCAACTCATTATTGTTTACACACCTCAACAGAATGAGCAAAGTGAAAGAAAAAACAAAGTCATGAAGGAGATAGACAGGCGTCTCATGTTTGAGAAAAGTTAGCCAAAAGATTACGAGGGACATGATGAGTATAGTTGTGTGATTATTAAGCTGTATGCGTAAAAAAGCTCTAACTAATTATACAAAATTGATCTTCTTTGGGTTAAATCCAAACTGAACTAACTAACTCAGTCTGTATGACTTTTGATTTGTAAAAAAAATTCAATCATTCAACTTGTTGATAATAAAGGTTTGATCTTTTTAAAAAAGTTACAAGCCAAACTAGCCAGAAAAATCTAACCAGATCAAGTATGGACAAAAACTACTTCAAATGAAAGAAGAAGATATCACTGCTATTCAAAGCCGGGTTCACACCAGAGGTTTGACCTCACTCGCCAACAGAGAATCCCAGCTAAGACCCACTAACAAGCATAGATGAAAACAACAAATCAAAGAATAGCAAACCTCCTGTTATGCAATGTACTTCATTTTTTAGCTTTTATTTGTCTCGGCTCCCTCTCTCGGAACCTAATGCCAAACCCTGAAATTCTCAAGGATGGAACTAATCATCACAAGCAAACCTTGCAAAATCCATAGTATACAGATTAAAGGTGTTCCTATGTCATCTTCACCTATTGAATATGGTTGAATTCTCAAAAAAAATCCTAGGAACAACTCCAGGACGTAGTAGTAAAGACATCAAGCTTAAAAAAACAGAGTCCTAAGTACAGTCACCGCATTCCATCTTTTTCAAGCTTTTCAATTTCTCCTTGGTGCTTTCTTTCTGCCTCCTTAAGCTCTTTTTCTGCATCCTCTTCTTCCTCAATTCGATCAAGATCATCAAATTCCTTCGTTGCTGCCATTACCTTCACCACAGGATCTCTTAGCTGAGATATTAGTCCACCACCAACACCGTACTCTTCTTCATCCCCAACTAAGAACAATCGCTGGTCAGGACCAGATGCCATAGGGATGTCGACTGCCAGTAGTTTTATGTCATACTGCAAGTGAATGTCATACGAGATCAATACACCAAGTTGTCAATTCCAATTAATGATCAACAACTTTTAACAGACAACTGACAGCACTCCATGTTAATGTTAATGCAAGACAAAAGAAAACGTGCAGAGACATGATTTAGAGAGTTTTTTTATCACATCTGTTGCACTGACTTTATTAAGAATTATTTTTTACCTTAGGTAGATGCTTATAATCAGCTTTCCACCCTATTCAAATCTACCTGTATGATAATGCAATTAGCCAGTTGTTTGGAATGTAATAAGCAAACACGTTATTAGATTCTAATGGACAGCTTTAAGTAAGAAAAGAACAAACCTCCTTGAATTTTCCACATTTCCTTGAAGTGTTTTTTCCCTTAAAATACCCAGTTACCTATTTAACACCATATTATATTTGGCAAAAGCCAACAAAAAAATATATTTTACATAAGCATCTCTATCCAGATTGTTTACTTTTAAGTTAACGCTTTAAATGTTAATCATTAACAATTTGTTAATACAGCTGCTGCTTTAAGCACAGCTTTTTTTAGCAAATCCCACCATCCTCTTACCCAAGAATATAAAGTTATTTTGATGATGCTATCGATGACAATTAAAAATAAGAATGAATAAGAACATTCCAGTACCTAGCTAGATTGGAAGTGAAAAACATAAACGGATGCAGTTCTAGACGTATGTTACCTAAATGGATGAGAGGAAAAGACAAAAGGAGTAAGCTAGGGAAGGGAAGTTTATAGAAGCAAACCTGGCCTTTTTTATTCTTGACTCCCACACTGACTAGGCCCTTTCTCTCAGAACCTCGTATGGGAAAAATCAGAAAACAACGCTTGCTCCTAAAACTTGGCTTGAATGTCTTCAGTGTTATCCCACCTCCTGACATTACATAGGCTCTCAAGTCTGTTCCTGTCAGAGGGGCACCCATTACTTCAAGAACGCCAGCAGATGTGTTTAGCCTCCTCATGGCCATTCTATAAACTTTATCAGGATTGATTGTGAACCTTGAGCGGAGGTATAATCCCTTACATTAAATAAAACAAACAAATGGTAAAATATAATAACTACATAATGCCGATGAAAAGGCCAATAAGGAATCCAAAAACTCATGTTAGAAGTTCAGAGCTGATACTAACATATCAAATTCCTAGATGCATTTGAGTTTCATATTCAAGTCAAGATGTTTGTAAAGGTAGCACTTATAACCAAGTAAGTCCAGCCCTACTGCTAACCTCTTTACCATAATGCTATTAGCGACATCCTTGGGACTTGTTATTATCCGATATTCCTTTTATGAGGATAAGATTGTCGATTTATGATTCTATATGTCAAATCACCCCCACATCATATGAGGAGCAAAGCTTGTATCTAAACCATCAGAAAATGACAATCACAAGAGCTAAGAGACTTGTGATAGTGGTCGGTATGCATTAGGAGAAAGAAATCCAGTTCACGTGTTAGATAATTGCTATTCACCGAGTTTCCTTTACTACTTGCAATTGTGAAAA